CTGGATTCGAGGGACTTCGCGTTGTCAAGGACGGATTTGTCGACGACAACGACGGCAACCGTGTTGGTCAGCTCACCGAAGGTGACCCCAAGAGGCTTGTTGGTCACACTGTTGATGAAGACGGTGACATCATCGACAAGTACGGCAATGTCAAGGGCCATGCTGAGCCATGGTCTGAGGAGGAAGCGGAGGAGGTCGACCTCTCCGCCCTTGCTGGCTGCACTGTCAACAAGGCTGGAAACATTGTCGACTCCAGCGGCACCGTTCTCGGACATGTTGTTGAGGGTGACCCAACCACCCTTGCCGGCAAGAAGGTCGATGGCAAGGGCCAGATCTGGGACAACGAAGGCAACGTCATTGGACGTGGTGAACTTTCCCACGGTCAGAACCCAGGACCCGAGGGTCCCTTCGCTGGCTTCGATGAGGCTACTGTTGCCAAGGACGGTACCGTCCAGACACCCTCTGGCGACATCGTCGGTCGCGTCACTGAGGGTGATGTCAAGAAGCTTGTCGGTCACAAGGTCGATGAAGATGGCGACATCAACGACAAGAACGGCAACGTCATCGGTAAGGCCGAGCGCTGGGAGCCCGAGGAGAAGGAGCGCCGCGTCAACCCCATGGCTGGCATGCGTGTCAACAAGGAGGGTGAGGTCCGCGACGAGAACGGTGACGTTGTTGGCCGTCTCACTGCTGGTGATCTTGGTCACTGCGCTGGTCTCGAGATTGATGACAACGGCTATGTTGTTGACAACGACGGCAACAAGGTTGGCGAGGTCACTCTTCTGGAGAACATCCAAGAGGAACCCGATGAGGATGAGACCGACGAGGAGAGGCAACGTCGCGAGGACTCTGAGCTCGCCAAGAAGATGTCTGCCATCTGCGAAGACACCCTTCAGCGTGTCCAGCCTGTCATGAAGCAGATCACTGAGGTATGTTTAACCCCAAACTCATCAACATCACGAACATGTACTAACAACTGCCCAGCACATCGAGCAAGCCGACCGCACACCCCGCGACGAGCTCGACGAAGAGGAGCTTGTCAACAACGTCAAGCCTCTCATCGAGGAAGGCTCCCGCATCCTCAACGACTGCAACGGCTCGCTCCGCGGTCTCGACCCCGACGGCCGTATCGCCGCCCAGGCCAAGGGCCGCCAGCAAACCGGCGAAGCGTCACCCGAGGAGTACAAGCTCGCCGACAACCTCAAGGAGCTCACCACCTCCGTCGTCACCACTATCGACAACGCGAAGAAGAAGATCTCCGACATGCCCCACGCCAAGAAGAAGCTCAACCCTCTTTGGTCCCTGCTCACCGAGCCCCTCTTCCAGATCATCGCTGCTGTTGGTCTGCTGTTGACGGGTGTGCTCAACCTCGTTGGCAAGCTGCTCAACGGTCTTGGTCTCGGTGGTCTCGTCAACGGTCTCCTGGGTGGCCTTGGTATCAACAAGCTACTCGGCGGTCTTGGTCTCGGCGGCCTGGGCGATATGCTCGGTGGCGGCGACAAGAAGGACAAGAAGAAGGGTGCTTCCGGTCCTATGAGCATGGTCGGTGGCCTGCTCGGCAAGAAATAGACATCTTGACGATGTCTGGGGGAGTTGAGACGAAGTAATGTCTATTCACACTTGGTTCGAGATTGTTTGTCTGTTTTTGCATATGATACCACGACCTCCTACCTGGGTCGTCGTTGTTATCGTTTATCGCCACAGAGGTTTGCAAGAGTTTCTTGCTTCCTTTCCCACTGTAATTGGACTTTGGTCACTCAAGAGCTGGAAGATCGGGGGGTCTGAAGGTCACACCTTTTGTCGCCAAAGGAAGAGATGAGTGGGACCTGAGCAGAGCACCTGTACGCTTCTGTGTCCGGTTGGATGATTGCAACTTCACCCGGGTATCTGGTCCGATGATGGCATGAATTCCTTGTTTTTTGCTCGTTCAAAAATCAGCGTTCTTGTTTTGTTGTTTTCCGACACACACACATCATCATGCCGCGACTCTCAAAGGCCACGAGAGGACGCGCGCATCTTTGGCTAGACCAGCCGGGTTTTCCTTTGTTGCACACCTCAAAATCTGCGATAGTTCTTAGCAAGCATTGGCGTTTCTGTTGTTGATGGCCATCAGGGGGATGATTGTTGTATGATAGTTGTTGTTAGTTAGTTTTAATCACTTTTACTTTGAAATCGTCTTTGTCTTTGCAGTTTGTCATGTGAAGTGAGCTTTCAGTTTGGTCGTGCACCTCAGTGTGGCATGTGAAATGCGTGTTCAATGGTCGTTGATCGCAAGGTTAATGGCTGAGGTGTAGTTGGGAAATATTTTAGCGTCTTTGCTCGTAATGTCATCGGCTTTCGCTGGGCGCATATGACATGTGTGTTGACTGTGCCACACCGGAAGCAATGCCACGATTTGGACGTCTTTAGTTGAGTCCTGGGGTAGTGTAGTTCGTAGGTTAGTTGGGTCTCTGCTAATGACGTCCTAAGCTGAGGCGCAGCCTGTGAATTTGTTGCGTCTTTGATCATGATGCGCTAAGACTTTCCTCATGGCACCCGGATTTAGTAAGCCTTTGATCGTGGTGGTGGCTTTCTGTGTCCCAGTAGTGTCTACTCGATCACTGATCGTGGACTTCGTGAGCCTCGGCGAGGCATGTGAAGCTGTTCGGTCTTCGTTCATGACGTCCTGGGCTGAAGGCATAACTCGTGAATTTGTTGGGACTTTGCCTCATGACGTCCTGGGCCTCGGTATAGTGCGTGGATTTATTAGGTCTTCGATCGTGATGCGCTAGGCTTTGGTGTGGCATCCAAGCCGATTGGGTGTACGATCATAAAATCGGCTTCGCGGCATGTCTTTCACCATGTGTCGAGTTGACAATTAAATGGTGTGTTTGGTGGGACCGAAAGCAGCTATACTATAACTGTGAAACCGGTGATACCGGTGATACTACGGCTGCCTACTTCGAGGTGGTAGAAATCCACGCGGACGCTCATCTCCTTTGCCTCCTTCATGAGCTTCGATTTGCGCATGCGAAATTCGACAGACTTTGGATCGCATGACTCGCATTCACATCGTTTTCGTCCGGAGTGGTTCTGGACTTTCAGCTAGCAGACCCTGAGCCAGCGCTCAAGCTCCCTACTTCTCCTCGGGGTTGCAGCATTGGCCATGCACCCGACCGAGCTGGGGGACGGCGAGGATGGGAATCCGATTGGGCAAACCTGGCTAAATGCGGCGAACTTTAAATCGTGCCGTTCCCCGAGTGCACTCCTTTTTGCGGGTGCCTGGTGCTGTCTCGAGCTTCGATGCGCCTTGACTTCTTGTCAGCGCTTCAACAACAAGAGTCAAGGTTAGGAGAATTGGAAGAACGTTGTGGCACGCCTTGCAGCCCTGGAGGCTTTGCTGATCTTGATGCAGATCTCGACGCCAGCATCGAGGTATGAAGCTTGATTTGTCTGCATTAGAGTGTCAAAATTACAGGACAGCTGCCATCTAACGCGCTTGGGCCGCCATCCCTCACGTCTCCCAATATGCACGACGGCAACTCTCTAGGTAGGGTTTCCCACGCCTTGCAATCCTGTTCATCACAATAGCAAGGAACGTTCCATGCGCAAGTTCATCGAGGTCCACTGAAATAGCGACTGCGTAATGTCCCGAATCTCTGTACTGCCAAGCTGCGTTTCACTCTCGGCGAGGCTGAGCCGTTCTTTCGCAGTGCCTCATCGTCCCCGCAACTCGACACCATCCGGGTTGGCGGGTGCGTAGCGGGCTGCTGGTGCATCGATATTGCGATTTCAGTAATTCCAACGACGCCGCTGAACCTAGGACATTTCTGCGATCCTGGACTCCGACGGGTGCGGGAAGATCCCCCAGATGCCCGGTCATCGTTATCGGAGTTCTCTCCACCAGACGAGCGCGGACCTCGCAGTGAACGCTGAACGAACGAACGAAAGCAGGATCTACATGAACCTCCAACTCTGTAACATCGCGTAAGTAGGGTCAGTCCAAAAAGATGAGAAATGTCCGGCACTACGATTAGCACACGGGACGGTCCACAGGTTCATCTATGGCGACGAGAAACACTGGCATGCGATTCGCGCGGCCACCAGCACCGCCGGGGGAGCATGTAGCGCATTCGTAAAAGTAGACAACGTATCAAGGGTGAATTTCGCGCTTCGAATGCGACGCCCAAGGCTAGAGGACCTGGTGCATCTCTGCACTGCGGTACGTCTCCTGGATGCGGGTGTGGCGTGGTGTTTATTGCTCCTTTCCAGATGAGAGGATGGCAGAAAGGCAGTTGACGTGCTGGGTACGGTACCAAGCCAATGGTGACTGGTCAGTCTTCACCTCGGCAAGAGTAGCGAGCTTGCGCAAACCTAAACCCCAGCTCATGCTGTCATCGACCGCGCACTATCGGTCCTAACCTCGCGATCGTCCCCTCGCAAGCCGAGCGCAAGGCTTACAATTCTTTGCCATCGTAAATCACCATTCAGAGGACAGCATTCCGGAAATGCTAACGGCCACGCAAGGCCGCGATGCATGGCACCTATGCACACGATCGGTCATGGCTTCTGGAAGCTTGGTACACCACCTGCAGACGCTTGCGGTAGCCAGGCACTTGTATATTCTAGAGCTTTTCGGAGCTGAAAACGCCTACAATCGACTCGTCCTGGGGTCGCAGGCCAAACTCGCGGGAGGCGGGACTCAGACCATGCACCAGCCATAAACCTTGAACCACAGCTGCTACAGGCACCAACCTCTAGCTCAGAGCAGCCCTTTGAATACCTGGCTAAAGAGATCAACCGTAGTCACGCGCCCGTGTGTCGATTAGCAGCAATGCTTGGGCTGCAGGAATCGGCCTAGGGTTTGGAGCGTTCCTGGCGCGTGGTACGTCTCCTATGTACTATAGCTTTATGTGCTATAGTTACCTCAAGCCAAGTACGTTCGCCGGCCTCATCGTGAAACCCAGACATATAATCGCGCCGTCCCGCTGGTCAGCCTTGCATCCCAGCAACCGCTCAGCATGCCTTTCAATCTCACCATTGCTATCCCGACGCTCGTTGGCAGTCTGCTGTCTTTCGTTGCCACAGGGTGCGTTCTCATATCGTACGTTGTGTACGCTGATTCGCAACGGTCTTTCCGTCACGCACTGGTATTGAATCTTGCTTTGGCTGGTAAGAACTCTTGACGACCAGATGAGATCTCCAGACTGACCACGCATACCAGAATTCATCAATTCGCTGAACAATTCGATATCTGGGATCTATGCAATTGCCAATGAAGGTTCCATCGCACCGGGTGCGGCATGTAATCTCAACGGCTGGGTAGGTCAGTGGTCTGTTCAGGCCGCTGACTTCTCTATCCTGGCCATCGCCATAATAACGCTTACTACGATTACCCGTAAAACGTACATGCCCAATGCCTCGCTCATGAGCAAGATACTTATTTGCGGCTCCGTCTGGGTCATTCCTACCATCACAGGTAAGCTCATAGATGCACATCCACCAACGCAAGGCTGACCTGAATGAACAGCGAGTACAGCTGCAGGATTGAACGAGTTGAGCCCCGTCAGCGGAAACTGGTGCTGGATATCGGGCACGCGAACTGACCTGCGCTATGCCCTGGGCCATGGTTGGAGGTTCAGCATCATCTTCGGAACCATTGGAATCTACATCTACATCTGGATCTACATGCGTCGGCACTTTTCGCAACTGCACTCCATGAGCCAAGGAGGGTCATACAATCAAGCCAGCGCCGCCAAGCGCCGCGAATTCCGCCGAGACGACGCCCACGAGCTGAGGAGCGAATCGCAAACGGAGCTGCATGAGATCAACGTGGAGTACGCCTACGAAGTAAAACACTCCGATGGCATGAGCGACACCAACCTCGGAAAAGAGGACATCATCTTCACAGCTAGCGACCTAGAGACAAACAGCCGCAAAAGCGCCACCACACTGTCCCCTCCCATGTCACCCAAGAGCCCTTACTTCCAATCCGCATCAGGTATGTCCTTCCCCATGCAGATGCGCACGAGCATCTCGGCTATCTACAACGTGCCAATACTAATGGTTACCAGCCTTCCCCTCAGAAATGACTGCGCCTTCAGATAAGAAGCGCAGCATCGGCATGATCAGCAACCATCCCGCGCCAATGTCCGGGGCTTACGAGTCGGGCGCACCCCACGAATCGGGAAGTAATCAGCAGGGCGCCACCAGCACAAAGAAGGTCGAGCGAGAAATCAAGAGGATGTTGCTCCTCAACGCATACCCCATTCTGTACATCATCCTCTGGTTACCTGGTATTCTCAACCGCTTGGTGGAAGCTGCGGGCCATCCCAGCTATGCGTTGAGTATTCTGCAATGCTCAACGCAGTACATTGGGTTTGCGAACGCCATCACCTATGGCTTCAACGAGCATCTAAAGACGACACTACGACGCGACTTCGTCAAGTGGTGGCGGGCGCGGCGGAGTTGAGGTAGTTTCTACACGTTTCTTCTTTATTGGTTGGTTACGACTTTACAAAGATTTAATATTCATGCTATATACCTCACTAGCCCATGTGACGAGTGTTCCACGTTTCATGTATACGCGCATGTGAATATGAACTGACCGAGGTATCTTACCCAGGCGAAGCGCTCTCGATGCACTGACTCTTCGTCGTCATTTTGAGTCAGCTGCGAATTCATGTCACATCGTGAGTGTGTGCTTGCGCGGCCGTCATCGGGGCTGGAAACGATGCGTGTTGCAGTCCACCATAAAGAGATCTGAAGGTAGAAACATACATGACCTTAGCAATTGTTCAGTCCTCAGAATTTGATAGCATGTATGCGACATGCACTTCAGCCGCCGTTTGCCAAGCTCAACATTTGACATTCGGAGAGAGGGCCACATAGGTTCTCCAACTCCTGACAATAACAGTGATACTACTCGCTTTTGCGCACAGTAATGCCTGCTCTCCAGAATCCCACTACTCTCTGTAGTTCTCGAATTTCCTCTTCTTCTGCACCGAGGGATCGTTTTCGGCAGATCCATACGATGAGCACCGTTTGCAGTCCTTCTAGTATGCTCGCATGGCCTGCGCTTGCGGGATCATTCGTCCAGAGCTCGTACGAAGCCCCGGGGTTGCCTGTTAGAACGAACTGGATCGCCCTGATAGCATCGCGCTGAGAAGACGACAGCGGAAGTATGAAATGTGATAGGCTAAACGGAGTCCTGGAAGAGAAGACGTTGAGAGAAAACGGCAGCGTAGAGGTCTCGTTGTAGATCTGACGACAGACGAGATGTAGACGGGGGACGCTGCCGACTGCATAACCGCGAGCTGAGATATCGTAAGTCTGACCGCCCACAGCATATCTGTCAAGGGGGAAATATGTCAGTACGACTATTGTAGAACCCGTAGACGCACGTGCCAGAACCTACGCACCCATGAATTTGATTGCGTAGCTCAGCCGGAAGTCGTAGGAGAGGCGACTCGGTAGAGTTGCGTCCAGATCTGATTTTGTTAGCTCTTCAGACCAGAACAAGCCGATTGGAAGATCTAGTGTTGATGTAGGCTCCAGAGTGCTCAGTATTTTGCTTGCACGAGGTGCAACTACTACTACTACTACTACTACTACTACTACCACTGCGTCTATTCCAGCCCGTTTTGACCTCAGTATCTGAGTATGCAGGCTATCCTTTTTCCATGGAGTAAAACTGTGGTTGATGGTATTTTGGATGTGTCTTCGCGAACCATGGTGCCCCTGTGGCCACACGAGGTGCAACGGGTACTCACATCTCGTTTGCTTTGAACGTTGAAATCGCCCTGTCCGGCCGAATCTCTCTCGTCGGCTTCGAGCCCTTTGTCATGTTGTCGAACATCCTTGGTTTTGGCCTCACCATCTTTTTCGGAGCGCGTCGATCGATCGATAGGAAATGAGAAGAAAGATAGAGGGTACAAGGTGACAAAGAGAGATCCAGGGTCCATTGCGCTAGCCTCATGCAGACGCGCTCACTCACCAACTAGGCAGAGACAGTCTCTCACCTAGGTACTGTACTAGCGTATTGCCAGTCACAACGAGATAGAGAAGAACCCTCAAACGCTGCCTCTGCTCGTTATTCTCAGCTACTTCACAACAACACCCCAGCCCGCGTCCAACGGCAATGGCGCATATCTGTGAAAGCTCTACAAAGCGTCAATCCTCTCTGTAATTACATCAATCATGGCGCGCATCTACCCAAACACATTATGGCTATCCAAGCAAGGCGAAATCAGAAGATTCCGGAAGATATATGCGAAGCTCGCGGTGGAACCGAAGGTGGAGCGCATGTCTGAATTCGACCAAATCAAGATAGCAGAAGCCATCTACCAAGGCAAGCTACGTCTCAACGACAACGGTGATGGTATGCTGGATGCCACACCACCTACGACCGATCTCATGGCCATGTAAGCTTGTGACTATGCAATGATTTTCTATTTGCTGACGTCTTCAAGTACACACCGGAACAGCGTTAGCTCGCCTCTACTCCGTCTCCCGGCCGAAGTGCGCAATAAGATCTTTGCCTACGTCAACAATGGTCTACACGTCTTCATGAGAGCTGGACCCGGTAATAGAGCCACGAGATCCATCAAGAACGGCACTCACGAAGGAGCATCTTCTGTGTATCCACCGTTTCTTGATCTCCAGCACACCTGCCGTCAAATCTACAACGAGACAGCGCTGCTTCCCTTCTCTACCAATGAGTACTGGTACTATACCGTCTCTTCGCTAAACGCTTGCAAACCCCTCTTTTTGGGTCCGCAGTGGGAGTGCATCCGCTATATTTCCTTCCCTATCACGATCCGAGCCAGGAAAGAGCTACCAGTCATTGGGAACTTCGATGTAAGAAGGCTGGAAGGCTTGAAAGCCTTCTCTCGTCTAGAAAAGGTCACTTTCTACTTGAACACGGAGCACCCAAATGCTGAGCGTCGGTTCGAAGACGTGAAGACGGTTTTGAAGCACTATCTAAAGGAGGTGGTGTCTGCGGATGTGAAGATTGTGTATGAGCACCGATACCGGGAGGCAGACTTCGTCTCTTGGCCACTTCCATACTGAGAGAAAAGGACTGGCTGACGAAGATGACTTGCGGAGCATCTTGACTTTTTTTCGTTTTGACATGTGGCTGAGCAGGACATGAGAACATCCTGCCAACCTTTCCCGGTTACACATAACGGCACATTTATTTTGCACTATGGAGACTACGTAACAGCTTCAATCTAACTGGAAACAATACACGTAAAAGCTCGAATCACATTGACCATATGAGCAGTGCAAGTTGTTGAATAGCAAGGTTTCATTTCAGCTAAATTGTTTCTGAGAAGAATTCCTCCTACGTGACACAACAATCGTATGCATTTCTTGTCCCTCTCAATAATGTATTTACAAGTCCACCCCGACTTCAGTGAATGCGTACTGCAGTAAGAGGAATTATGTCGCCCTTTATTCCTTGTAAGGACTGTTGCTGCCTACATTGCAGGAAACACATTAGCAATGAGCTCCCCAACATAACACAAACCAGAACAGATATTTGACTTACATCCTCTGACCGTGTATAGCTTTCCATACCAGTTGTACGACCCAGAGTGGTTACCAAGGCCTGCGCCCTCGGGACGGCACTGGTTCAGAATGTTCTCGAATGCGTCCCAGCACCTCTGCTGATCAAAGCCTCCAGGCCATGAGAGTCTGCCTCCACCAGGAGCATGGTAATAGCCATCGTTCTTGTACAGTCCGTCACCGCAGACGTGTTGACGAGCAGCGTAGAGCTGGTTGCGACTCGAGGCGGGGACGGCGCCGCAGAGTCCGTAGCCTCCGCATTCGGCGGCGGAGACGACAGCTCCTGAGAGCATGACGCCGACGGCGATGATGGAATTGAAGTGCATTTTTGTGGTTGTTTGGAGATCGAGGGAGTAAGTGAAGGTTGCTTGTTGTGATGATGAGAAGCTACACTGTAGATTGGAGCCTACTTATACTTCTACCACGTTCACGACTATTCATATAGATACACCACTCCGGACTTGCTGGAATGCGAGATCGACTGCATAGCACGCCCCATGTTCCCAAAAGGTATACATTGCGAAACCTACAGACCTCAAACTTGCTCAATCAAGCGAACGCACGAGACATCACCGCGCCATCCTCATAGCCCACATGCAGACATTCACAAAACTAGCCCGCCACAGAAGGTGTATATTAAAATCAAAGTAATCATTCTCGTACAGCGAGATATTGAGTTCAGCCACACCAAGCTAAAGTACGCTTGACCATCCTATTGGTGGGCAGCAATCCGGACTGCCTTCCGTAGCCGCTGCCATATGCGGCCCGCGCCTTCTACTACGCAAAGCTTGGCCGGTTGCGGTGATGATTTCCAAGAGTTGTGCCATAGAACAGGTACGGGGTCATCCGATCGTACCCACCTACCTGGGTACGGCAATGTGCATCATTCCAGGCGCACTCTATTCTTTCAGGTGTCAATTGAACGGAAGAGGCACCGAGCTATGTACTCGACATCACATGCAACAGCCACGATGCAACTACGTCGCAGAAGCCCGCACGTTCGCCAAAAATTGCTCGAACGGTCTTGACTATCGTATACTAGACTGCGGGCTCGGCTATCGGCGTCGTAGCAAGTAGACCGCAACATCACTGCTAGCTGACTAGACCGCATGGATACGAGGACAGCAGACCCTTTGGCCCCGGATGCATTGGAAGCCGCACTGGCGCGTCCCACTTCGTAGCTGTCAGAGTCTAGCGATCTTGGTAAGTGCGGGGATGGAGAAACTATTGAACCCGTCGAAAATGACCCTGGAGGAGGGGACCTCTGCGGGGAGAGCACCGAGGACATGAAGGGTGTGTTTGAACACTACTCATCTATGAAGCGATAAGAAAAGAGGCAAAGAATGGTTTATTGCCTACATGACGTCTTAGTCTCATCATTCCTGGTGAACGCACTCTACCGCGGCGACTACATCCACTTACCTTATCATGTCTGGAAGATGATCGCCACTCTTTCTGCGCACAGTACCTCCTCAAGCCTCTTAACCAGCTTGTCCTTCATCAACTGGAACCTCTCATCAGTCATGTCTCTCCAACTCCCTGTGTAGCCTGCATAAACATTGAATACAATCCTCCTCAATCCCACCAAAGGCGCCAAAGCCTCCACTTGCAGGATATCAGTATCGGTAATGTCTCTTCCGAGATGCATTGAAACGGTACGAATGGCGTTGAACTGTGCAGGCATCAACTTCCGCCACCAATCGTTTACATCGCTGGGCATCGGCGGGTGTGTAGGCCTGCACCAGAAGTTGTTGATGGCGAAGGGAAGGAGACGTGCTTCCGCGTATGTCGAACGACAAACGCATAGGATAGCTAGAGGATGTTTGATGTATTTGTCTGAGTCATGGGCCATAGCGAGCGGCCTTTCGGGTTGAGTGTTGAAGATGAGATAGTTTTCGAGGACATATTCCCAGATATAATCGCGCAACTCTCGAGGTAGGAGGAGCAAAGGTGAGATCCGCATGTTTCTCTCGGTTCTGAATTGATTAGCGCTTAATCCTGTACTGAGAGGGCTGTATTGTGCTGGAACCAATATCGGCTCTACTGACATGGCCTTGTATTTGCCGAATGGTGTCACGTCTACCATATCGTCCTGGAGGCGACCAACCGGTGGCAGATACCCGTGTCTCTTATTCCGAATCATCATATCGGCAGCGTGGGCCTCGGGTTAGGCTTGGCTGTTTTCGTGTTTCCGTTTTGTATAGTTTTGACGGGCTTGATGACTAGCACCGGTAGGGGCCTCTCAACTGTCACCGCGAAATCTTGAAGAACGTCGATGTCGCTGAGGGTGCTGATGTATGACAAGTTGAAACGAAAAGATGCAGATAGGGAATGGAAAGACTCTGGATCGGTAGCAATTTCGTGTATTTAGCGAACCCACACTCTGGTATCATGCCCCCCAAGTGCTGTTCCATGGTACTACAATGACCTAACGCCAATGGGATGCGCACAGACTTTGACTCACATCACACTCGCACCAATAAGTCAACTCGGTGGAGAAGAATGGTCAGAATGAAAAACTCGCTGCGTGATCCATGACATTAGGCTGGCTTAGAAGATGGTACCGAAACGCAAAAGAACAACGAAAACGCGTAGAACCCTCAGCATCGATGGTGAGTCTGGTATGCTCCTTTGCTCTCGAATAATTGCAACTATCTCGTTGAAGTCTGTCTGCTTTTGCTTATCCGGGGGTATGCATACGCTCTCTGTGGAAACGAAAGCACGAGAAGTGGTAATGCATCTTCCTCGGTCAGGTACTGCGAGGGCTTAGTACGTGTAATGACTCAATACTTGCAGTGAGTCTTACAAAATTGAGCTCCCTCTGCGTGGTATCATCAGTTCATAAGTTGGATTTTGAGATTATAGTTTCCCCAGATGTCTCCCAAAGCCTTTTGGATGGCTTTACCGCGTGCAGGAATACCACCACATAACCCGTCGCAAATGCAGTACACCTTGACGTACTTTATGCCAGTGAGCAAACATAGAGGGGCTCTTGTGCTTTCGATGCAACAGATCTGAATGCGTTGTACAGCAGCTATCTGTTCGGGTAGTCGACGCGTGAGCCATACAGCAAGAGACGCCATGTCGTCCGGCCAGAAAGAGTTGTGGGAGTAAGGTAGCAAACATGTTTCAGCATGTGCTTGTCTGCAAACTCGGAGTATACTTTGTTCGGGGTAGTCTTGGCTGTCTTCGGGATACACGTCGCCTATAGTAACAGTTTGTGCGTGTACAGCGTAGTTCCAGATCCTTTGTCGGATTTCCGGGGGCAGGCGCAACAGAGCCGATTCGTCCGCATTCCTCTGGGCTCTTGTAGCATTGTTAGCCAGGCTCAGATACAGCAGAGCCACACTTACATGGCGAGGTAGTAGCTATTCGGAGTAGCACCGAGCATTCCGTTCTTTGACTTCTGGGTATTCATGTGTTGCCTTGCTGCCTGTGACTTGGCGCCGCGCTCGGGCTGGCGCCTTTTCGCGCTGCTTGGTGTTGACATGACGTTGTTTGGCGGGCGGAGTCGCCTCTGAGAATAGAAGTCGCGCCCAAGAGTATGAGCTCTGGCCTCGTAATGCACACGAAGATAGTGAGGCGCAGAGTGAGGAGCTGTGAGATTGTGTGTAGAGCTCAGGCGATGGGTCATGGAAAGCTGTGGTGAGTGAGAGCACGGGCACTCCCAATGAGGTGAGAGCAAACAGCGTGTGCCAAGACAGCGCAGTTCATCGATACGGAAGGGGCGTGAAGCTGCACTAACTTGTGATTAGTCCACCTCAAATCATCCGCGCGCTCGGACGGCGTCAAGGTGATAGAACCATAACTCACTCATGCCAACATCTAGTCTTCATTATCCATTGCACAAACTATGCTAGTGCACATGCCTATATACCATCCATTGCACAAACTATGCTAGTGCACATGCCTATATACCATCCATTGACCAAAACGCCCAACCTCCCCTGGGGTATATTCCATATGCATATTTACCAATGGACCCAAAACGGTAACAAGTAAACAAAAACAACAGACACACCGATGCCAAAGCACATGCTAATAATACCGCTTTCATGCAAATTCCGACTCCCTAACGCCATCATGGCATGCATGCCCACCGCCCATAACCGTAGCGTCGGAGAACGACGACTCAGTCCATGACTCCAAACTGCTGAAATCGTAACGCCATCTCTTTCATACGCCATATGGTTTCATGCTCGGCCCGACGGGCACAGCGAGCGTAGCTTCGTCTGGTATTTTCTTGTTTCCGAATTTGCTTGCCAGCTCTTCGATTTTGGGGATTAGCTCGCCGATCCTAAACGGCTTGCTGACGACGTCGTCCATGCCGGCTGCGAGCAACGTTGCGATTTGTTCGCTGCGTGCGTTGGCCGTGACGGCGATGATGGGGACGTGCCTCTTGAGTTTGCCTTGCTGTTCGAGCGAGCGGATTTGAGAGGTGCATTGTAGACCGTCCATGACGGGCATTTCTTTGTCCATTAGCACTACCGATATGTCTTCTA